AGTAATTAATATATTCTGTGGACTGTGGTGTAACCAAGTTTATACTAATAAACTATCACACCAAAAACACTTTAAATTTAAAAATTTAGTTAACATATTGTTGATACATTTTTAATTACTGGAAATACTGTAGTGGTTACTTCATTGTATTTATTATTAGAAATAATAATAATATTAGTTATAGATAAATGTTGAAAAATAATCAAAACTTTAATTACCTACCTATCCTGTATAAAAATTATAAACCCTTTTGCTGTTTTGGTTCTATGCGCCTCAGCCTTCAATTATAATAGATTTTTATGGTAAAATATAAATCTTTTATTCTGATTAGGGTACACAATTTAGGCCAGTAAAAAATTGTATTTAATTAAACAATTTATAATAGAAAAAATGAAAAAGTAAATATTTAAAATCAAATCTTTTTTTTAAACATAAACAAATGTATAACTATCTTGGTAAATATTATAATATATAATATTATAAACTATATATTAACATCATTTTTAATATACAGTCTGTATATTAAAAATGATACGTATATTATATCTGTATAATACAGATATAATATACGTATCGTACGTTGATTGATAATCTTATAACAGTTATTGTGTAGGTATCAGAAATTTTAACGAAAACACAGCATCAATAAATGCCTAGGTAGTAGGTATAGTTACGTGTGTGAAGTTGGGGGACTATAGCTAGGGGACTATTTTCTCGGACGACTAGTGATAACAGCTCTTGTATGCCCGGTTGCGTTTTATTACATTCAAGGCACCCGACATTTGTATTACCGTCAACCACAAGATGGCGCCATCAAATTCACTTACATCATTATGTGCCCGTATATTAGTGCGACCGACCGGCCCAGGAGACCATGTTTTCGAATAGGAACGGGCGGGTGTGCCGTTTTTAATTTTTCCGACCAAGTTCCGGAAGGTGGCGCCGCATTAAACCTATATATTCGGAAAGCCAGGAAAATTCTCTATAAGATGAAAATAAGTCTAGGAGCTACAAAGCTTTCGGAGACATAGTAAAATGCGACCGAACAGCCCAGGGGACTATTTTTTCGTGACCGACCAGCCCAGGGGACTATTTTTTCGTACTGCCGGGTGCAGGTACCCATGCGCCGTTTTTCATTTTTCCGACCAAGTTCCGGAAGGTGGCGCCGCATTAAACCTATATATTCGGAAAGCCAGGAAAATTCTCTTCAAGATGAAAATAAGTCTAGGAGCTACAAAGCTTTCGGGGACATAGTAATATGCGACCGAACAGCCCAGGGGACTATTTTTTCGTACTGCCGCGTGCAGGTACCCATGCGCCGTTTTTAATTTTTCCGACCAAGTTCCGGAAGGTGGCGCCGCATTAAACCTATATATTCGGAAAGCCAGGAAAATTCTCTATAAGATGAAAATAAGTCTAGGAGCTACAAAGCCTTCGGGGACATAGTAAAATGCGACCGACCAGCCCAGGGGACTATTTTTTCGTACTGCCGGGTGCAGGTACCCATGCGCCGTTTTTCATTTTTCCGACCAAGTTCCGGAAGGTGGCGCCGCATTAAACCTATATATTCGGAAAGCCGCCCGCCCGTTCCTATTCAGTACGAAAAAATAGTCCCCTGGGCTGTTCGGTCGCATTTTACTATGTCCCCGAAAGCTTTGTAGCTCCTAGATTTATTTTCATCTTAAAGAGAATTTTCCTGGCTTTCCGAATATATAGGTTTAATGCGGCGCCACCTTCCGGAACTTGGTCGGAAAAATTAAAAACGGCACACCCGCCCGTTCCTATTCAGTACGAAAAAATAGTCCCCTGGGCTGTTCGGTCGCATTTTACTATGTCCCCGAAAGCTTTGTAGCTCCTAGACTTATTTTCATCTTATAGAGAATTTTCCTGGCTTTCCGAATATATAGGTTTAATGCGGCGCCACCTTCCGGAACTTGGTCGGAAAAATTAAAAACGGCGCATGGGTACCTGCACCCGGCAGTACGAAAAAATAGTCCCCTGGGCCGGTCGGTCGCATTTTACTATGTCCCCGAAAGCTTTGTAGCTCCTAGACTTATTTTCATCTTAAAGAGAATTTTCCTGGCTTTCCGAATATATAGGTTTAATGCGGCGCCACCTTCCGGAACTTGGTCGGAAAAATTAAAAACGGCACACCCGCCCGTTCCTATTCAGTACGAAAAAATAGTCCCCTGGGCTGTTCGGTCGCATTTTACTATGTCCCCGAAAGCTTTGTAGCTCCTAGACTTATTTTCATCTTAAAGAGAATTTTCCTGGCTTTCCGAATATATAGGTTTAATGCGGCGCCACCTTCCGGAACTTGGTCGGAAAAATGAAAAACGGTGCATGGGTACCTGCACGCGGCAGTACGAAAAAATAGTCCCCTGGGCTGTTCGGTCGCATTTTACTATGTCCCCGAAAGCTTTGTAGCTCCTAGACTTATTTTCATCTTATAGAGAATTTTCCTGGCTTTCCGAATATATAGGTTTAATGCGGCGCCACCTTCCGGAACTTGGTCGGAAAAATTAAAAACGGCACACCCGCCCGTTCCTATTCGAAAACATGGTCTCCTGGGCCGGTCGGTCGCACTAATATACGGGCACATAATGATGTAAGTGAATTTGATGGCGCCATCTTGTGGTTGACGGTAATACAAATGTCGGGTGCCTTGAATGTAATGAAACGCAACCGGGCATACAAGACCTGTTATCACTAGTCGTCCGAGAAAATAGTCCCCTAGCTATAGTCCCCCAACTTCACACCCGTGTATAGTTACATTTTCACTCAGAATCTTAATAATTATAGTATATTAGTTGTATATGCTTGCAGTAGGTATGCTAATGCCAGTATACCAGTATATACTTAGTATACTAATACGAATCTATTCATAATACCATTAACTTTATTTTTTTTTTCATTAATTCCAACGTCATCACTACAACATCATAAACAAATAATGTGAAATAAAAATGTTTTCTTAACTTCTATCACCAAGCATTAAATAAAGAACTAAAGAAAAATTACTCCCACTAAAATTTTACGCCCGGGGATCAATCCCCGGCTTCACCCCCCTAGTTCCGCCACTGCTACTTGTACTAAACGAATATACATTATATAAAAGCAACATCTAACGTGTTGTTATATAGTACACATTACTACTTCTATACTACTCAAATTTTATATCAGACGAATACAATTAATATTTTACCTCATATTGCCGCCAAAACATCATCTGAAAAAAATATTTTATCACGTTTGGCTATGATAACATAAACATAATAACAAAAATGTTTGACCAGATAGCAATATTATTAAATTACTTAAATTTTTAAATATACTCAATAGTTCATTTTGCCCCATGTGCCATGATACCAAAGGTTAGGTACTCTATTATTTATAATATTAATATTGTTTGTGAGTTGTTACTTCGTCTTCGTGACGAAGAAATCTAAAATGAGTTACTTACGAACATTATTCCAAAAAAAAAGAAAACCTTTTAACAGTTTGTTTTCCACGAGGAACTCTGAAGGATTCTTTAAAAATTTGATTGGTGTACATCTTATTAACGACGATGAAAAATTTCGGGAATATTTTCGTCTAAATTGTAAACAGTTCAATTTTATTTTATCTTTGGTTCAAGAAGTAATGACAAAGAAACCGACATTACATGTACCTGAGCGGCTGAGCCAATATCTCCAGAGGAAAAACTAGCACTTACTTTGAGGTAAAATTTGATATTTATTTTTAATAGAAATATAATAAATTAGACGACGATTTAAAAAAAAGTATTGATTAGTACCTAACCTAATTTACTATTTTTTTGACATGTTGACGCAACTCTGGTCTGGACCAGCACTGACGCCGGACTCCTCGTCAAACGCGAGTAGCGAAACCAGTCATACACAAAATACATAACTAGGGTTTCGGCGTCAGATGCTGCAGGGAAACCGTACTTTTACAGTTTCTTAAAACCCACGCTTCGCCACTGGTGTATAAAATTTGGTTTGTCTATAATTGTCTATTTACCTACTTTCAGACAAGTTTTGGAAGCTGGCTTAAAAGACGCCCCGAAATGTATGGTGAATTCAAAGATGGGCATGGTCATAGCCCACAATGATGGTGCCTTGACGGAACACCTTACAAGGACACTAATGACATTCTCGAGAGAACATTGTTTACAGAATGATAAAGTAAAGATAAAATTTCATGTAATGAAGTACTTATCTCATATTATTAATTATGATTTTTATAGCACGACAGTCAATTGTTTATTTAAATGTAATTGAAGTTTCACGTATAATCTACCTACTCCATTGAATTTTGATGTTCCGTTACCAGTATCTGAAATAGATTTTTTAGATGGACATTGGGATTTAACTACCAGACAAGTAAGTGTATTCTTCACATTGCAATATGTCATGTTGTAAAAGTTATGTAATTAAATATTATAAATCCTTGTGGTTTACAGGTAGCTCCTTTTATTGATAGAGCAAATCATGTATGCAAAATTTCCGAACTTTCTAAATCGTACATTGAAGTGGTTGCTGCATGTATTCAACATTTAGTGTAATATATTAAAATAATTTTATTATATTTGTAACACTTAACTATTATTCAGCTGTTCAGTTGACACAATGTATTAGAATATTTTGTTTTAATTTGTTATTTTTATTTTTTTAGTTATTGTAATGCTGTTTCATTAGTAGACCTACCTATTTCGTTATAGTAACATGTATGTATGTACTACTAAAATTGGACTACTCGCAAGAAATAAAAGTCGTTATGATGAAGCAATTATTAGTGATATCTCAAGACCTAGTTAGTTCATTTAACATTTTTATTTGATATTAAATGTATGTTAATAAGTTAATAACCAAATTCTCTTGTAGGTGGACCAAAACTCAAAAGCCACATTCAAGGACATATTTACTGTGTTCTCTGCAATGAGACAAGGATAGCGGTTTATTGATTTCTGCTTAAGGTTTAATCGAGTCTCAATAAATATGGATGAAAGAAATTTGGCACTCTATGGTCTTGCTAACGGCTACATTCGCCAGTTGAGAAAGGTAAATTACATATTTTATTAATATTCTGACTCATAAGAAATACAATAAATGCCGCTTGTTAGGAACACGGATAATTAATGCAATCGCGATATTGAAACAAAATACGGATTGACCATTTATTAAAACATTGTAAATCAATCCTTTTATTGAAACAATTAGAGCCAATTTTGACGACAACATCCGGTAATTTGGCATTATCCAATGTACCAACTAATTACAATGAACATTATCTTATGTTGTTACAATCGATACCGAATTCCACTTATCCAATTTAATTTTGTGTATTTCATTAAAGCACACATAGAGCAGGAGGAAGCCTATTTAAGTGCAGCGAACACGGTTTTTATCTCATTGGGCCAGTATGAACAGAGGAAAACAATATCAATAAATATATATTTTACATAATATAATTTATTTTTTCATTGTACCTATTTTTTTTTTTAAATTATACATTTTTTTCATAATAAGTAAAACCAATCACTTATTAGAAATATTAAATTAATTAACACACTTCACTTCGTTCCAAAAGTGTTCCTAATAAGCTGCTTCTACTGTACATATTATCTTGAAACTAATTGTATGTTATGAGTTCGGTGGTAGGTATTTGTTATTTTACATGATTATCATGTGTTTGAGGTTAATGATATATTATAAGAAATTTTCACCTTTTTTTTCTTTAAACAATCAATTTTTAACTAAGTATTAAAAACTGCCAATCTTAAAATATGTGCACAGAATCATTTTTCAGATGCAATGATTTTATCTTCTTAACAAATTTATTTTGTTTTAGTATCCTGTGGTATTAATAGAAAAATATGTTGAAAAAAAATATATGGGGAACTACTATAATGGCCTAAACTCACTCAATATAATTAGCTGTTTTACAAACTCAGATGTATTTCATTCGGATGAAGAAATTGAAAGGGATATAAGAATATAATCAGTATGGAAATAACTTAAAACTGTTAAGTTGAAAATATGTTAAGTATAAAAAAAGAATTTTAATTTTAAATAGAAATTAAATGTATATAATATTATTGTGAATTATTTATTATTGTTTGGTATACTTTAGAAAATATAAGAAAATTGAGTTAATTTTTTTTTACGTTTACATTTAACAAACATATTTATTCAATGATGTACATATTGATGTCTACAACATACAAGTATAATATAAAATGTGAATTTGTTTATCAATTGGCAGTCATACAGTTTAATAAATTCAATACATAAAAAAATTCACTTAAAAATTGAAGATAATATTATGTTGTAACTAGATTTATGAACATATTTAGTTATTTGAACTGTAAGCAGTACCAAAATGAAATTAAAATATGTAGGTAAACAAAAGTTAATGTGAGTCTAATAAAGTAAAAATTAAAATATATTTATTATCTTGAAAATTGGACACCTATGGGCTATGATGTATCTCCGTAACAATTTTGATTTTAAACATTATTTATTTAATATATAATATAATATTTGACGATCCCCCGTGAATAGGGTAAGTGCAGGTGGTTGTATGGTGTTTGCGCGCTCAATGCTTGGTGCATCAAGTGAAACGCCAAGTACACCCTCACGCCAATGAATAATAATGCAGTAAGGTAATAATATAGTGTTTATTGTCGGCCTCTAATGGTTATAACAAGTGTACAATGTACAATGAGCCTGGTTGGCAAACAATAATAATATAAAAACAATCGAACAATGAGCCTGGTTAGCTGTAATATATATGAACGGAATATAAATAATAAATAATACTTTAGGACCCGTTGGTCATACACACACACATATTTGGTCGACCAATACTCACATAACAGTTGAGATATACACCTGGTTTTACACCCACGTTACCGCACCAGGGCCTGTAAGTATGTCAATAAGTTACAATAAAAAACAAATTGACCCTGGCGAATGTGTGCCAGCAACTGTTGACGATGACTTCACAAACAAAAACACACTGAATGCAGCCGGAACAGGATCTCTAGTGTTCGCACTACTGTCCCCACGAGCAACGAGGTACACCGAAACACGTTGAATCACAACACAACCCTATACTGGGAACAACAAATTAGTGATGGCAACAAAAATTGCTGAGAACGATAATTACCTACCAGAAACTTAATCACAAATTCACAACAATGTGGTTTGGGACGACTGCAAACAGCTCATGACAAAACTGATGTAACAACCATGACGTTGCTACTTGCTTGAACCGCTCAGCAACGAACACAAGGACGAAAAAACACAAAACGAACGGTCTTTCAGTGTCACCACACTAAAACAATAACCAACGGAAAAAACTATGAACTTCATGCAGAGGCTAAAATATAGTTTTTTTCGTACTACATATTTTATATTAAACTTTTAGTTACTGGGCGGGGGCTTTGCCAACTAACCAAAAAAAGTGTATTGAATCTATACACATAAACATAGAGTAATCAATTTCTATTTTTTTTTCTACAGAGTATAGATTACATCGCTAGTTAACGATTTATGTCCGTATATTGATACGATAATTAATTCGGTATTATACATAATATTCCAATAAATACACAGAACTATAATAGTACTATACAATACCTATTATAGACGGTGAATTGCAAAAAATAAAAATCCCCGATTCTAGGAAAAAAACATCCCAGATTTCAATATTAGGTACTCACATTATCACATGAAATTGATTGATTAAATGGTTTTTAAAAGCTTATTAATGTAATTACAACATCGTTAATATTTAATTATAAATAAACACAAGGTTTAGGAATAGCTATCATTAAAAAAATGATTGTATAATAAACAGTATTCAAACATTAACAATAACATTATTTTGTTTTTGATTTGAAACAACATAGGTAAATATGTTAATGGTTCTTTTAAAAAAATATAGGTAAATACATTCAGTAACTATAGTTTGATAATTATTTGTAATTTGTATCGATTATTCGAAATATTTTTATTTTGTAATATTTTAAATATTGTATCTATAAGTAAAACTTGTAAAATCGACTCCTATAATAATAATTATAATAATAAGTAATAATTATTATTAATATTTAAAATTCTTATCTATCTATTTCCCAACGAAACATCAAATAATTTTTCAATTAATGAAGAAAAAAGTGTAAAAAAAAGCTAGTATAGTAGTTATTACAAGCCATTACACACTTTTTAATTTCGTATTCCACACTTAGTATTTCGTACTACACACAATTTTAGTCCCTGACTTTATGACACTGAAAGCTTGACTACACGAAAAACAACTTAAAGTTTTGAACGTAACCAAATATAATGAAAACATTGATAATGCTTCCACAGGTGGCCGGTCGCCCACGACGGAATGCCTGATAAGCGACCTAACCGATACATGCACACAACACGTCTACAGTTCTACACTGACCTGTTTGCGGCGCAAACAAATGGCGATGTCGAAATAAACACGTATTCGTCAAAGCAGGTACGACAGTACGTAGGTATGCACCGCGGCGGCGTGAGTACGGCCGCGGCGGTGCCGTGGCCCGTGAATACAGTGACGGCGTGGGTACGGCAACGGCGGTAATGAATGCGACAGGTTTCAACGTGTTTCGCGAGTGCCGCGGTGATAGGACGAGCGGGTACCGACGGTGGTCAACCATAGATAATAAAGATATCTTTAATTAAGATATCTTTATTATCTATGCGGTCAACACTCAACGCGGGTAATGCGAAATAGAATCAATGTAACGATAGGACGGGTGTGTACCGCGATGTCGGAGAGCGGTGACAACAATAAATACCGCAGAATCGTAATCGGTCGGGTGGGTACCTCCAAGTGTTATCGACGGTTGTCATTGCGGGAACGCAGTGTCGATGACAGCCTGCAGGCACAACAACAACAACAACAACGACGTTCGGTCACGTGACGTAATGGTGTGCCCTGTGGTAATGGTAGCTTGTTCAATACAGTAATCCCCGTATTACTACCACACGAGATAACATTAGTGCTACGATTTTATATTACTCCGACATATTTGCATTTTACTGATAGTGTAACGTGCCAACCACTTCAACTCAGTTCTGATGGTATTTCGAATTAAATAACAAGTTGATTTTGTAATGATAGTTCAGTTGTATTTATTTTAACACATAAAATAGACCAAGTCCAAATAATTAATTTATAATTATGTGGTAAACGCGCTGTACCATTAATTAGTTCTGTGCTCTCATCGATGTGGCCGTTCGGACGCTTATATTATTACTATTATCGGGTTACGTGCCCCCTGCAGCATTTATATCTGTTATTGAATATAATATATTATTACTATTATTAATATGTACGTAGTCACAGCCCGTTACAATAGAGATAATTTAAAAACTATTAAAAATAATTATAATAACATATTAATTTATGAGTTGTAAATTTAATATAAGTTATAACAATATGTTAGGAACCCCTTGTTCTTATAGTAATATAATATAGGTAACGTAGAATTTAGATGGGTAAGCAATTTTGTAAGACGACGTCCGTCGCCATCGAATAGTACATAAGTCAGTCGTGAAATAGTCTTAGACTCGATTACTGTGTGTACGTTTTATATAAAAAATAAAAGTATTAATATCATTTTAATTCATTGCGTTAAAATTCAATTCCTGTAATAATAAGTTTCAATAGCGTACTCATTCTTTAACAGAAGATAACAACTCAAAATTGTCTACGAAGGAACAAACCCAAGTAAGACATAACAAATATAACATTGTATGGATTTTATTAAAGTATAATCTACGCTTCAAGTAGATCTTCTCAGAGTTCAGAACTTCAGAATTTGTAAATGAAAAACAGAAGCACACTACACGGTGTCACGGCTGGTATGGTATTAAAATTTATATTTGACATCTTTTTCCATAAAAATGTAGAAAATATGTGATTTACATTTAATATTATCTTAATTTAGACGATGGATAAATTAGAAATTCGATATTTTAATATTTTAAATATTTGTTTTGACTATTAGGCAATCTCAGTGTCATTTTTTTTGCTTCAACGTGACAATGTAATAATTATAATATTTTCTTAGGTGCACTCTTTGCAATCATTTAAGCTCTTCCATCTTGTATTACTAAAAATAATTTGAAACAAACAATTGCCGCTGGACCCACAAAACTTTTAATATCTAGCAGATATTCTTTGATCCCAATCACATCTTATAACTTGAAATTCATTAAGCTATTTGTTATTAACATAATTTGTTGACTCCAGTTCCTATAAAAAAGTTGTAGTAAATTTGTTTTGTGTAATTTAATTATTCTTTTCACATTAATCTAAGACCACTCTGTCTGTGATTGACGAGTTATAACTTATAAACAATTTTATATCCATTCACTCTATTCAGAGGATGATGGAATCCATAACCCATATTAATTGTGATTTGAATAAAAGCTGTGTCTACACCTAAATTGGTAAATTGGCATTTTATTTTTTGAAGATATTTTAGATATTACCTCAAAAACCGGTTGTACTATGTTTCGAATTCAATCAAATCAATGATACATTATAGATGACATTTTAAAGTATTACTATTAAGAGATATTGGTTTTTAAATACCAACATGTTTTTTTATTTTTGTATATAAATTACCATTTTTGCCATATTTTGACAAATAAAGAGCTTATAAATATAATAGATGATTTATATCTAAATTTAAATTGGTATAAGTAGATATTATAATATGAGTAACTGAGTAAGCTTGTTAACAATTTTCAACATCAAAACAAGAAATTTAAATATTTCGTCTTACCGTCGTTTGAGCCAACCTCTATGATAGGTAGATAAATTAATATTATGTGGTGTTCTTATGTTTTGTAATTCGTTTTTTGGAACAATTTATTCTAACAATTAAAACATTATATTATCTGCTATTGATGGAAGTTTTGTAGAATTTCTCCTGAATAATAATTAAAAAG